GTCCCCGGCCCCCCTCCCCCACCCCCCGCCATCCTTCCCAATCTGGCTGGGCCGCTTGCCCAGTTGCTGCTGGCTTCCTGGGCAGCACAGGCTCCAGCTGCTAGCACTGGGATCTGGCACCGTGCATCTGGGGGCACACTGGAGCTCCAGCCCTAGCTCTGTGCTCTAGGAGGCTGCAGGGCTCTGACTCCACGCTTCAGCAGGCTGCTGCTGGGCTCTCACCCTGGCCCTGCACTCTAGGAGACTGCTATGGGGCTCCAGCCCCACACTCCCATGGGCTGCTTCAGAGGTCTGGCCCTGGGCTGCTACGGGACTCAACTCTAGCACCATGCTCCTGGGGGTGCTAAGAAACTCTGGCTCCATGCCTACCTGTGGACATGCCTACCTACGGAGGACAGCTATCAGGTGGAACGAGGTGTACAGCTAGTTCGGATTAGGAAGCCTAATCCGAACTAGCTAGTCCGTGCCGCGTGTAGCGCGCAGCACGGGGTCCGAGCTAGTCGGCATTTAAAAATGGTGCCGGCCGGCTTTATGCAAATGAAGCCCAGGAAATTCAAATCCCGGGCTTCATTTGCAACTCCGTATGACTACATTACCCCCCCCAGTTCGAACTAGGGGGGTAGTGTAGACATACTCTAAGGTGCTAATGCCACAGTCGTTGTTTTTAAAGTTACAGACTAACCCGGTGCCCCCTCTGTGACTTTATTACAGGATATATTTCTTGTCTTAAAAATCCGTTCAAATACAGCCAATCCTTCTCAGGGTGTTTTTTCAGTCAGAAGTCCTTTGGTTTTTGTTCCAGCTTTATTTTGGTCTAGATCAACAGGTTGATTAAAGTAACCAAGTAAGTCTTCTACATGTTGCTGAAAATGCCAGATTTGTGCAACTAAAAATAAGCCCCTACGCTAATTCTTGACTCAATTCACAGAGATCTAATGGACCCAGGTTTTTGTTCTCTAATGCTAACTATATGAAAAATTGTGGTATAGAATGTTACAGGAGACAGTCTGATAACTGTGAGCCTGTTGTGATATCATGGATCAAAATACATTTAACTAGTGGAATCTGCAGATGCAGCCAAACATTATACTACTTTGACTGCTCCTCCAGTTCAGGGGCTGTTCAAGAGCCAGTTTAACCTATGTGAAATTTACAGCAGCTTCAGGGCTCCTTTAGGTTGTACTGGATGGTAATGTCTCCACAAAAGGTCATTCTTCCAGCTGGGAACTGTCAAAGTTCAGCAGTGGAACAACCATGTCCCCTTGGAGCTTGGACTCCAGTATGTCCTCTATGCTGCTAGCTATCAGGTAGCTTTTCATCTTCTCTGTGCCGACAAAGTGGCATAAGAAGGAGAAAGGAGGAGCCAGGATTTGGCCCCCAAGCATTCCAGAACTGTGATACACACTACATAAAAAGTTTCAAATACCCATGCAAAGCAAGATATATGTATCAAGACAAGACTAAAAAAAAAGAAATTTGTAATGAATAAAAGCAAAAGTGTGCTGTATTGCCCCCCAGTTCCCAGATATGTATGACCCCAGGCAGGAGATGCAGTCATAGCTATCCCATCCATTGGACAGTTTGGGGTGGGTGTCCCATGATCTGTGATTTGGGGGGGCCAGTGGCAGCCACCTCAACCGTTCTATGGGAAGGGCCTAGGAGTTACTGAGGGGCCTGGTGTGAGGCACCAGCAGGGGTGAAGCTGAGTGCAGAGGGCTGGGAGAGGGCAGTGGAATGGAACTGAGCAGGCTGCTGGGTTGGTCTCACTTCTGCCATGGTGAACACAGAGGAGGGAAGGCAGGGAACAACCCTTGTTGCTGCCCCATGCCAGGCCCTGCAGTAATCCCTGGGGGGGGAATAGTTGGGGGGAGGAGGGGGAGCAAAGGGGTGGAGCAGGGCCAGGATTTGGTGAAAGAAGTGGCGCGGAGGTAGGATGAAGCCTGCAGTGGAGGTGGGTTTGCCATAGGCCTTACTTAAGGTCACTCAGGGATGGTTGCCCCAGGACCCACGCCCCACCCTAGGAATGGCCCTGGATGCCGGATAAGGCTGTAGTGTATACTGACATAATTACAGCCCCACTCTAGCCTCATTTAGCATGGACACTTTAATTGACAGGTTTTAATTTTCCCTCCCTCTGGACATCTGGTTCTGAAGAAGTAGGTTGTGCCTATGAAAGCTCATGATACTACTATTTTTTTTGTTAATCTCTAAGGTGCTACAGGACCATACGTTGTTTTTAATTTTTTTTTAAATTATATACTAACACGGTTACTCCTCTGTGACATAATTACGGTGACGTAAACTTCACTGGCCCCAGAAGTCCTGGTTTCCAATCCTATATAGAATACTCTTTCACTGAATGCAGATTCATTGCAACTCTGTCAGTGTTTTCTAAATTGATTTTTAAACTGTGACTTTAGGTCTAACCATTTTTTTTTTGTTATTCCTTATGTTTTAACTTCCATAGGAGTTCAAGTTGTCAAAATAGTTGGCGAATACTCACTGGCTCCATGTCGGTCAGACCTTTGCCAGGTTGCGATCTGGCTGCCAGGTTGTGTCATGTGCGAACACAGCAAAGCTGTAACGTGGGTAAGCAATTTCAGAAGTTGGCTTGGTTGATGAAATCATCTTCTTGACAGTGTCTAAGTGTGGGCTGGACTCAAATCACCTTTCCTGGGAGGAAAATGATGGGGAAGGAACTTTGTTACTGCCAACGTGTCCTCGGCCTCAGTCAAGCCCTGGATGTAGCAGAGAGGGGCTGGGGATCACAGACCTTACTTGGCTGCACTTCGCCTCTCTGCACTGGGAAAGGGACGGACCCGCGCACTGCAGCTAATGCAGCAGCCTGGCTCTGCAAGGGGAGTCCAGGAGGCCA